TCTGACAGCCCATGGCTCGTTCAATATTCTTTGCCCAAATCATAATTTCAATGTGTAGCTTCTTTGGTCTTCCTATTCAGTGTTCAATTTCACACACATATGAGGTCATTGAAAATACCATGGCTTGGGTTAAACCCACCTGTAGTAGTTACATAACCTGGTGTCAACTTGCGGAGGGGTAGAGTCTAGCCTGCCAATCAGGTCACAGCCTGATGACCTCATTTTGGAGGTGCCATGAGATAAATAGCTCGCTGGAGGCAGGACGCACAGAGACACTCCCTGTGAGACATTCCTCTTGACAAGACGCATGGAGCTATGCTAGAGCCCTGGAGCTGAAGGAGCCATGTGGAGACCCCTGCTAGCACTGAGATGCTTCCACCGCCACCGGATCCACAAGACTTGCCACCAACTGGCCTGTAATCTTCCTGCACTGGGCGTCATTGCATGTGTTGCATGAGTCTGAAGAAGAATTTATAGCTTGGTATGGGACGTGTGGGTTAATATCGGGCTTATGGACTTGATTTGGACTGGGCTGGGTTGTCTTCTTAATGTACAATTACTCTTTGATATAAAGTTCTCTTACACACATATGACTGTCTATGAATTTGTTTCTCTAGCCAACCCAGACTACCACAACACCTTAGTAATCAAAGTGACATCCTTGCTCATCAACACTTTAAAGAGGTCTTGTGCAGCTGATCGCTCAATTAAATGCATCCTTTGATCTCTTGACTGCAGCTTCCACGCGTACTGATTGTGAATCCAAACAAGGTGAAGTCCTCGACAAGGCCTGTCATTTCTCCATGTACCGTGATAGACCTTTTGGGGCAATAGTGAGGATTCGGGTTTTCTGCACAAATGAATTGTAATCCATACTGAAGGCTGCAACCCTTGATCTTCATCACAAGTGCTTCAAGTCCTCATTACTTTCAGCAAACAAGGTATGTCATCTGCATATTGCAGGTTGTTAATAAGCCTTTCTGCAATCCTGATGCCCCACTCTTGTCCGTATAATCCAGATTCTCTGATTATTTGTTCAGCATACAGATAGTATACGTATGGTTAGAGGATATCCCTATAACGCCGAGCATGATGTTTTTGTAACATTTAATTAATATATTTTGGTTGTTATATATATATTGATAAATATGAAAGTAAACAATAAAAACAAAATTTTTTTCCCTGAAATTAAAAATTCAGGCATTATAGGGATATAACCCTGAAACACACTTTTTCTGATTTTAAACCATATAGTACCCTCCAAATGAGGAATGTGTTGATTTTAAAATCCAAAGAGGCCATCAGACATTGTGCCTCCTTTTTAGTTGTGGGAGAGGGCAGATGGAACATCCATCTGCAGGCCGATTGCCCTGAGGCAGAGCTAGACAGACCTCCAGCCTCCATCCTTCTTTGACCCTATTCCGATACCACCGTTGCTCCCGTGGTCCTCCGCTCTGTTGGTTTGATAAACCATCACACAGGCGGCTCAGAACTCGCAGACAATACTCACAATTCAGGGGTTCATGAAGAAAGTGAACAGGTGACCAAACACCAGGATCATAAAACATTAAGGACATAGTCCTTGACCACAACACTGCCCCTCCTGGGCCTGCAGCTAAGTCCTTCACTGATGGTCCCTTAGCGTCTGCCTCCATGGGCTCGCCTGCTGCTGCGCGCGGCTCACCGTCTCATCGTTTGGGGGCTGCTCTTCTGCTCTGTCTCATGGTCTCCTTTAATCCCTCTATCTGTCCCGTCATCTCAGTGTTACAGCCACCGGTGCCTCTGGTCTTGCCTCCTCCACTTCAAGCAGGGACCTGGGATGCGATCACCCCACTGGTGGTTCTTCCTTGACGGTCCTGAGAACTCTCTCTCTCTCCTTTCCAAATGGCTCCCATATACTCTGAGGAATGACTTTGCTGGAAGTGTGGTTTTTGTCTTTCAGCAGACCATACTCCCTGGAAAGAGAAGGAGATTCCTTCTCCTTACAGGAAGTAAGGGCGAATGCTCTCTACGGGGGATCTACACCCTCTTGGAGGTGGGAAGGAACCCCGGTGGCAGAGTGGTTGGTTACCTGTTGAGCTGCTAACCTTAAGGCCAGCAGTTCAAAACCACCAGCCACTCTGTGGGAGAAAGGCGAGACTTTGTGCATCTCTAAAGAGTGACAGTCTTGGAAGCCTGTAAAGGCTCCTGCCCTGTGCTCTAGGTCCCTGGGAGGTGGAATGCACTGGATGGCAGGGAGTGATTAAAACGGAAACTCGGGCCTCTGCCTTGTGGAACTCGGGGTGGGGCGGTGTGTCACTGGGTCTTCCTTCTCCCTCTCTTTGCCTGAGGAGGTCAGGCGTGCTCCTATGACACTTCCTCGGGTCCTCTCTAGAGCAGGGGTTCTCCACCTCCCTCATGCCGCGACCCTTGAATACACTTCCTCATGTGGTGGTGACCCCCCAAACAGCATTATGTTTGTTGCTGCTTCATCACTGTCATTTTGCTATTGTTATGAATCGGGTGACCCCTGTGAAAGAGTCGTTTGACCCCCAAAGGGGTCTCGACCCACAGGTTAAGAACCACTGCTCTAGAACATAAATGTCTTACCAATAAATCTCATTAATACCAAATCAAAACCAAAACCACTGTCATTAAATTGATTCCAACTTAACACCGCCCTATATAGGGTTTCCAAGATCGTAAATCTTTATGGGAGTAGACACCCTCCTCTCTCTCCTGTGGAAAAGCTGGCAGGTTTGAACTGCTGACCTTTAGGTTAGCGGACCAACATCTAACCCACAGTACCGCCAGGCCTTGGGGTCATCGATACGTTTTTCTTATTAGGTTTGGTGTACAGTGAATTACTTAATATGGTCGTTCTGCTGTTGTGAGGTTTTGAGTGGATTCTGACCAATAGCAGCCTTATGCACAACAGAACGCAACACGCAGGCGCCATCCTCACAACTGTTCTGATGCCTGAGCCCATTGGTGTAGCCACGGCATCAGTCCACATCATTGAGCGTCTTCCTCTTTTTTACTGCCCCTCTGCTTTACCAAGCATGAGGTCCTTCTCCAGGGATTGGTGTCTCCTGAAAGCATGTCCAAAGTATGTGAGACAAAGTCTCACCGTCCTTGCTTCTAACAAACACTCCGGCTGTACTTCTTCCAAGACAGACTTGTGTGTCCTTTTGGCAGTCTATGGTTGTGGCAGTTACATAACCTACTGTCAGCTTGTGGAAGGAGTGGAGTTTAGCCTCTCAATCAGGTTCTAGCCAATGAGGCCTCTGTGTGGCCTTGGCCTTCTCCTGAGATTCTGGGAACTCCTGTCTTCCTCCCCAGAGGTGGGACACACTCCCTGCTTGCGTTCCTGTTGACAAGCCACATGGAG